GTTGGCTGCACAGGACTTTGTAGCAGTTTTCCAACATGTCCTCCACCCGTGATGTCAGTGGTGGGACCCCAGTCAAAGCACTCAGCACGACCTCCTTTAAATGTCTTTTATACCAGTTACTGCCCAGCTGCTGTTTTCTTTTCTGTCAGGGTCTCCCATTAAAGGAAAAATGTACTAAAGACGGTTAGATATTTTTAAGTATGTAAATTACTCAGGCATCAAATAGATTTGAAGTTAAACTCTTTATGATCCTGAGGCGGATTTCAAACAAGCAGGTCGCTTTGATCTACGAGTAGATCTCAGACTAACAGCACGAGCACAAAACTGGAAGGAAATGTTTTATCTTAATTCTTCACTCAGAGTTAGTGCAAGACGGACGTCCTCACATAAATAAAGACAGAAACTTTATTTTAATATGATGGAGAGCCATTTAGCTCATTGCTGTCATCTTCTACTCAGTGCAACGTTTCTTAAATGTGTTTGTATTATACTGAGTTTTGAGCTTTGCAGGATAAAAACACAGCAGGTAGGTGTAGAGAGGACGTCAGCTGACGGAGCAGAGGGAGGCAGACTGTGGATAAATGACAGCGTGAGAGGAGAGCAACCATGATAGAAGCACAGGTATGGCAGCTAGAAGTGGCTTTAGAGATATTTATAGTCAGTGTATGTGTCATGAAGGTGACATGTGAGCTTATCTTTGATCAATAAACCTGAACAATGAGTTTTTGCATTGCTTGTTACCCTTGTTTAGTGAGGTTTGGGTTTCCTTTGAGCCTGTAAAAAGTTGGGCTCCAAACAAACCCAAACTTGGTGAAATCATCTGAGTTCAGCACCTGAGCATCGGAGAAGAGTAAGTGGTAAATAGACTGGTTCTTATATAGTGCTTTTCTACTGATCAGAGCACTCAAAGCGCTTTACACAACTTGTGCATTCACCCATGAACATTTTCCAAGTGCTTTATAGCTAACATTCACACACATTCATACTCCGATGGATGCATCTGAGAGCAATTTGGGGTTAGTATCTTGCCCAAGGATGTAGACTACGGGAAGCCGGGAATCGAACCACCAACCTTGCGATCAGTAGATGACCTGCTCTACCACCTGAGCTACAGCCACCCCTGTGGGACAGAAGTTTGCTTTGGAAACTGAAATAAAAAACTAACAAACATGATTTATAATGGACAGTATGGAGAAGTGAAAAGTGAAAGGCTGTGCTGGAATACGTGTGTTACAGTTTTTGATTGCTGAAAACTTCAAATATCATCAGAAAAAGTACAATATTTTGCATCATCTCTGCAGTGTCTCTTCTTTCCTCTGCTGTTGTGATTTTAGCTCTAAACTGTTTGGTTTGTCAGCAAACTGACCTCTGCAGTACTAACTCCTGACCTGTACAAAGAGCAGGTGTTTCTGACCTTTGACCTGCAGCTGTATGTCTCTCAGTCTCAGTTCTTCTCTCCGTCACTGATGGAGCAGGTGTAGTTGCCGCTGTCAATCAGTTGTGGTTTTCTCAGAGTGAGGCTGAAGTCTGAACTGTTCAGAGCATCAGGTCTCATCAATGTGCGCTGCTGTAACGCCGGTTTTGTCCTCTGAGATCACCAGGTATGAAACCTGAGTGCTGACAGAGCAGCAGGACAGATGTTTCCCCCTCATTCACCTCCACCACCACAGCCAAGGCATGCTGGGAAACTGAGGACACGCACAGACGGAGAACTTAAGTGTATGCTGTGTGTTTATCTCAGAGTCCTGACAGGTGACAAATTAGCTCCAGAACACCAAGCCAGGTGTTGGAAGACTGACACATGGATTCTTCCCATCCAGAGGGAGGATTTAGTTGCACTTTATAATAGTTGCAGAACAATGAACATTAATATGTAGTTTAGAAACACAGACTGTGCCTGCACTGCATCTAGTGAAGAAAACTATTACTGCAAGAGAACGAGGCTACTTTAAAGCAGCTGATATTAAGGTTGAAAAATAAATGTTGATGTAATAAACATTTCACAAAATCGTTAGCAGCTAAGATCTGGAGCCGTTCTTTGGTGGTAATTAACAGTTTATTCTTGTTAGGTAATTATGTAATAAAGGTAGCAGTAAAAGCCTTTTATTGAAAGCCCATTCACTCACACACTCACACATTCACACAGTATGTGTGTGTCTATGTTACACTGTGGACAACAGTAATACTTCCATCCCTTCTGTTGGAGCGCCATCTTGTGGCGCTTTAAGGACTTTTGTTCTTGCAAATCACATGAAGACTTATTCTTTATTTATACTGTCATATTTTCCTGTTACACAAACCACTGCACGCTGGATATTAATGAACTGAAACTCCCTGCGTCTGACTGAGGAAAACCACAAATCATGTCTGCGACACCTCCATGAAATAGAGCTCACGTTATCCTGTTTTATTTTCTGACATTGGCTCCTGGTTGTTGATTTTAGATTTTCTTTAAAGTTCTCACACTTTCATATGAAGCACTAAATGGGCTCCAGTCTATTTATCTCAACTTCCTGTCAAACACACTGCTGCTCACACCGAGGCTCTGGACAGTTTACTCCTCCAGCCTCGCTTAACCTACTGTCTGTAAAAACAGTCCCACACTTCTCTATTTAATCCTTCTGATCAGATTCTTTGATTTTGTCTTGTTTTTACCTGAAGTTGTGTTTTTGACATGGTTCTGAGTTTAGATTGTGTTGTAATTGTTGTTCAGCACTTTGTGATTGTTATGTCTGTGAAATAAACCTTACTCAACACACACACACACACACACAGACACCTACAGTCCTTCATACACTTAAAAATGAAGCTGCTCCTTTCCTCAGTGCTGACACATAAAGAAGAGTTTGTTTTTATATCCAACACGTCTCTGTTCCAGAAAACAGGTTCAGCGGCCTCTGAGTCCAAGTCTGAACTTCAAGTTGGTTATAAGCCACAGGCCTGTGTGCACAGCAATTAGGAAATATAATGCAGTAACTGAAATATGAATGTGTGTAACAGAGCACGATTATCCCAAAAGTTGATTCTGTTCATCTGGACATAGCGTTTTCAGTGGGAGAAACATTTTGTCACTCAGTCAAGTGACTTCTTCAGTCTCAGCTAGCCAAAGGATTCCCAAACCTTTGTCACTTGATCACTTCATCTCCAGAAAAGTGTGACTGACACACAGTTGGAGCCGTTACAGCAAAATCATTGATCATTGTAGAGGCTAAGCCTACGATTGAAGCCACAGAGGTGGTCGTTAACGGGGGTGACGCAATGTCACTGGTATGTAGGGATGGTATTGTTTAGGTTTTATCCGATACCAGTACCAAACCGGTACTTTTGAAACGGTGCCGGTGCTTAAACGGTGCTC